TCTAGAACCGATTAACCGCGATAAACGAGGGTTCACTGTATTAAAAAATGTGGATTCCTGCATTTGCTTCTTGCAACTTGTGTGAGACCTTGGTCAAGTCTCCTCTATGTTCCTTACTTTTCTCATCTAATAAAGTTTATGGGTAAACATTTAAGATAATATTTGCCTTTATTATAAGTAGGAATAGTAGAGACCAGTCATTCTCACACTGTCTCTCAAGTTGCTAATCTTTTGTCTCATGTAGGTATTAGAAGGCTCTCTTTTGTTTAATGTTTTAAATGAACCCCATACCAAGACGTGCTACCGAGTCCATTCCAGTTCCTGGCCATGCCAGGTGTTTTTAACTTTGTAAAGTGAAGTGGCTGCTAAGTCCGTGTAGAGTATGGCCTTCCGTGGGTCTCCCAGTCATGAAGAGCTTCTGCTCGGATGGAGAGAGAATTGGGTTGAAATTACTTACTCCACCATTTCTCGGTCGTGTGCCCTTTGGCAGATGCTGATCGGAATGCAGTGGTATTGAATCGGTTGTCTTGATGGGGACTCGGGCCGAGTGCAGTGCTGATTGATAATACAGACATACCTTGGAGGTGTTCAGTGGAATGGAAACATGACCCGGACATCAATAGCACTTTGATAAATTTTTAAATATTGTGAGAGTTAGCATTATGATAATGTTTTAAATATGAGTCCCAAAGTGGGCACACCCCGTTGACAAAGTGAGCAGAGTTGATGGACGTAGGGGTGCCACCAACCTTCAGCCTGCTAAAAAGTGCGGTGTCGGCGTGCACGATAAACCGAGGTGTGCCTGTGCTGTATTCCCAAGACCAGGAAGGGAGCTCATGAAGTTCCTCTTTCCTCGCGTTATTGTGTCCGCTCTAATTCTGCATTCAGACTGACGCTGTTTGGGGGGGGGCGCGGCGCATGGAGGACCAGGCTCTGAAGTGCGCTGGCGGGGTTCTGCACGTGGGCCCGTGACCATCCAGGGCCACCCTGATGAGGACCATGCATCTGGTTCTGGTCTACACTCAATTAGTGATCCTCCACACTGAGGGTGATTCGTCCAGACTATCCTGTGAGCTTTAGGTTTATGTGGGAGATGGGGATCTGGGCCAAACGTTTCTTTGCTTTTTCATTCCTTGATGTCCGTGAGTCAGCATGTAGTCAAAACTGGCCAGCAGTACCCACTTGCCTCCCATGCCTGTCTTGGAGCAGGTTTCTGTGGTACAGTGACTATGGTGATCTTTCTGAAGACTGGATAGGACACAGGCTCAGGGAAGGCCCCTGTGCTTGGGGACGAGGCCTGCCCCCAGGAGATAAGGGACGAAACATGTTCTTGTTACAGGATGGGGAAATAGATGATGTTCTAATTGCCGCAGTAGAAGTGTACTCATCTTGGGAGAAATTAAGAGGGAGTAATTCAGAATTTGGAATCAATTTGTTCCAGTGAGGGGCTGGGCCAGGAATTGGAGCTTAGACCTCGGCCTGTCCTATTCCAGTTGTGCTCTTGAGCACTGCCACGTTCATCGACGGACCTATGTCGCCTGATTCTAATGTCTCAGTTTCTCGCTTTTCTTTTTGAGTGTGCAAGAGTGAAAAAGCACTACCTCAGTAAAACTAATTTTATGCACTTTGTTTTTCGTTAATATTTTACTTTTGGAAGTGTAAAAATGTGTTTGGTGGTATTGCACCCTTCCAGCCACACTGTCCCAACACAGTAGAAATGAAGAGGTTTTGTCGTCCGAAGCTCTGTACTTTAATGGGGTAATTGTTATATTGGGCCATGGGTGTGATGGTTGGGGAGTAATTCTTGTAATGTAGGACAGAAAATATCCCATTGTCCGTTTGAGTGGGCAGGATGATAAGGTTTACATACGCACCCCAGATTGATAAGTTTCAGAGACTGGAGGATGCCAGGTCTGGTCAAGGTAGTTGGGGGCAGGGGCTTTGTTATTCGTGGGATTTGAATTGTGACTTTGTTGTAGAGTGCTAGTGACTTGATTTCAACAGTCCGTGACCCTGTATGACAGAGAAGAAGTGTCCAGTAGGGTTGTCTTGACTGTAACCTCTACATGGGCCAATCCCCAGGCTCTTCCCACGGAGCCACTGGGTGGGTGGGAAGAGTCAGCTTTTCAGTTAGCAGCCGAGTTATTGACCGTGTGCTGCCTGACCTAACCTGTTCCCGCTCACAGCGATCAGAGAAGGCAGCAGAACTGCCCCTATGGCTCCCGAAGCTATGAATCTTTACAGAAGCAGACTGCCTCATCTCTCTCCCACCGAGCAAGTGGTGGATTTGAACTGCCAGCCTTTTGGTTAGTGGACCAGCAACCAATCACTGAGCCACCAGGGTTCCTAAAACGATGGAAGGTTCTACCAAGATTGGAACTCCGAATTGCTGGATGTAGGGCAGGCTGTTAACCATTCCTACAAAACCCGGTTGTCTGACTACTAACCCCACTGTGTTGCCACTATGTCTGCAGGCCTCGTTGCTTAGTGCTGGCGGGCTTCTCCTGGGTCTCCTCTGTGCAGCACTCGGCACCAGGCCTGAGCAAAGTTGCTTTTGTCAAAGATGCTTTGACAAGGCTCTGTGATTTAAAGCTGTTTAAGCTAAGGATGTTTTACTCCTTTTAATAGTAGTTGGATGCTCCCAGTTTACCAAACTAGGTGCGAAAATAATGAATGTTGAATAGGAGAATAAGAAAAAAATTCCACCAATGGTTTTACAAACTCCAGAGAGAAAGTAGCCCACTTTTTAGCTTCTTTATAAAACTAGCTAAGAACTACCAGAAAGGTTAGAGCTAAAGTAAAACTCCTATAGTTGAGTATGCATTGAGCTGTTGACTACAAGGTCGGCAGTTCAAAGCCCTGGGAGGAAGATGATACATTCTACTCCCACAGAGATTTGCAGCCCAGGAGGGGTAGTGATTATGTGTTGGGCTGCTAACTGCAAGGTCGGCAGTACAAAGCTACCAGTTCAAAACCACCCTGGGAGAAAGAAGGGATTTTCTACTCCCCTGGAGAGTCACCATCTCAGAAACACACAGGGTCTCCAGGATGTCATCGTGAGTCATGATAGACCCAGTGGTACGAGTTTTAAGTTTTATTTTTAATGTTGTCAGTTGCTTTGGAGTTGACTTTGGCTCATGTTGACTCCCATGAATTTCAGAATAGAATTGTTCTCTGTAGGGTTTTCAATGGCTGGGGTTTTTTTTTTAAGACCTAGGTTACCATTCTTGCTTCCAAGCGATCTCTGATTGGACTTAAAATATGGACTTTTCAGATAGCAGCCAAGGATATTGTTTGCCCTACCCAGGAACCCCATTTAAAATGGTACTTGCCACCATTTTTGCCGCAGATGGGTTTAGAAGTCGATACTGGAGGGGTGGGGGCGGGGGTCTTCCCTCCTCCTCCCCTTTATCTCATATACATTGACAAGAGAAGGTCAAGTCAGATTGATGACACTTCCCAACAAGTTACATTTCACTGGGAAAACATAGGCACTCAATTCATACACATATCAACAGTACTGTTGAGTTAAAAAAAGGTAGACTTGAGTAGAGATCAAGGTTTATTAGTGGTTACCAATGATGGGTGTGAGGGTGGGGGGAAGAAAGTCAAAACATGGAGGTGATCCTGAGCCCTGAAGAGAGCAGGAAGACATTGGGGGTGGTTCACGTGCTGGTTGGAGAATACGAGGGACACAATTCATGTCACTGAATTGGACACATGAATTTTGTTGATGTAGCAAATGCTTTATTACTCATGCTTTTACCAATATAAAATGGTTTAAAATATAGTTTTGTACTTATTTATTTATTATTGCTTTCACTGTGAACACTTTTATTCTTCAGCTCCCTGAAACTATAGAAAGAGATAGAGAACTTGTGCAGAATTTCTGAATTCATTTCCTGGTGGGCAGGTTTTAAGCCTGTATAGATATGGTCCGCCCGAATCAAATTGACATTTTCTTATGTCCAGTAACCAGCTGTTAGGACACATGATCCTGGCTCGTCTTTCGGAAGTCAGGAGAAGAGAGGGTTAAAGCAGATTAGTGTTGGGTTAATGCCTGACTCCTGTATTCCGTATGCTCCCAAGTGAAATGCTTCCACACTGGAATCTTACCGTGACACTATTAGCAGAAGCCGGCGTTTGGGTCAGTTCAGAGCTTAGCACAGTACCTGTTAGGTGGTAGGTAGATTGATCCCATGTTTTCTGAATCACTGCATTGTACCAGTGCCCCATACACAAATATGTCGGGGTGTCTGGTGATGCAGAACTATCCCCACCTGTCAAAATCTGACCCAAATAATTGGTGTCAGGGGAGAACATCTGTCTCTTTGCACCAGGCTCCAAATAGTCACGATTCCACCTGAGAGGCCATGGAACATCGTTCAGGGTTTTAATAAAAATAAAAGCAGCATGATTATTGTTCCCATTAGTGCTGTCCATCTTGTGTCCCAGGCAGTGGGAAAGGTGCATGATCACATTATCCCTGATGCATCTCACTGGAAATTACTCCCAGAGTGTCTCAATCTGAAGAGGTGCACTTGGATTCTCTGGACTGAGATGTAAAATAGGGACGGTGCCCCCCTCATGTTTGGACAGAGAGCTCTGAGCCCTGGGAGATTAAAGATGTTTTCATGGACCAACACCCATTTTTGACATCCTAGAGTTGGGAAGCACAGATCTGGCTTCTATCTTGGGCCCCAGGAATGGTGGTTGTCTAATGGCTCTTGAGTCATTGCCACGTTCCACAAGCACAAAGCAATTGAATAAGGATGCCTATTGGTCATGGCCTACTGCTCTTTGTATTTGTAATGTTAAATTTGGGGAGCTAGAGGATGTGTTTGTTTTGGTGGGGAGGCGGTGGTAACACATATTTCTACCCTAGGAAATGACCGACACATCTTGATTAAGAGTTGCTGGCTGGGTGCGTATATGGGGGAGCTGCAGAAGGGAGAATCTCAAGAATGTTTCCTTATGTGTTCTCTTCTGTTCATTTCTAGTCTTTACAACCTGGCGTCCCTGGAACTCAGAGAGAATCTTCTTACTTATCTACCTGAGTGAGTCTCTGTGGAAACTTAAAAGGGATTTTTGTCTGGAGGGAATTTCTTCTTGTATGAAATTTTTCAGAACTGTCAAAAAGATTCTGTGTTATTTGGGAAGTTTGGACGATGTGAGTCTTCTCATAGTAGTCCTGCCTGTGTAATACTTTACTTCCATAGACACATAAAGGATTTTAATTTTGAAAAACTAGTGCAGGTGAAGAGTACCATGCTTTTCTGAATTTCTACGTGAACTGCTGGATGGCCTATCCCACCCCTCCCCACCCTCACCTGTTTGTTTGTTTGTTTGTTTTAATAGTTCTCTTACCCAGCTACGGAGACTAGAAGAGCTCGATTTAGGAAACAATGAGATATATATTTTGGTAAGTCTGTAGTAGGGAGATTGGAATTTAAGGTATCCTAAGTTATCACAAGATACTTTAGGGAGAGGTGTAGGGACGCTTACAAGTGAATATTCGTACAGGCATGAGTGGGAGGTGTGACGAATGTGCTGCTTTTCATGCAGGTTAAGAATGATGATTTGGGTGGGGTTAGGGGCATTGTCAGGACGGGGGTGGCAGGTGAGGTAGAAGTGACTGACATTTCTGGGAGAAGTAGGGAACACTTCAGAAGGGGAGCTTGAAACTGGACAAGTCTCAGCAAACTTCTGCTGTTGTTTCCAATCATTGATGGAAAATTAGAACCTCCCCCATTTTACAAAATTCCTCCCCCCACCTTTTTTAATGGAAGACTGAAAACTAGGCCTTACCACCCCTAATGTTATTTTTATTGTTTCAGCCAGAATCGATCGGGGCTCTGGTGCACCTAAAGGATCTCTGGTTGGATGGAAATCAGCTGTCAGAATTACCTCAGGTAGGTGGTTTCTCCCTAATGTCCTTCTCCCGACGGAAGACGGCAGCAATCAGGATGAAGCTCAGGGCTTCCTTGGGGCTGTATGAGCTTCACAATGTGATCCTGAAAACCCAGAACGCTGGCTGGAAAAGCACAATTGGACAAATACGTTGACCGTTCGTCTTTCTCCATCGCTATTGAAAACTGAAGCCCATCACTCCTGAGGTAGCGAGTATCTCCCTTAGTTTCTGAAGTGTTTTGTTTCACTCTTGCCGGCCCTATTGTTGACCTCAAGCCCAGCGGATTTATCCGTTACCAGGGTCCCTTGTTCTGTCAGGCATTGTGATGGGCCACGTGCTCTGCGGTCATTGTAGCTACCCAGCGCCCTGTCATACTTAATGTGAAAGCAATGCTTATTTTCTTTTTTATTTTTCAAATATTGCTTATGGTTTTCCTGGCATGTCCTGATACTTGAGTTTTTGCTCCTGTCTCCAAGTGTGAGAACCAGTGGCTCCCAATGGACCTTCAGACAGACTCCTGGGTGAACAGTCGTGTTGTGCATTCTAGTAAGCAAAACCACTTCCTTTCTGGTAACAGGAGGAGAACATCCTAAACAAAAACAAAAACCTCACAAATGAACGTTTCTGTGTACTCCGCGGTCTCCTGCCACGTTATTTGACTTTAATTTTGATGGAGCTTTATTCTCCTGAACATCTCGCAGGCAGGCTGTCAGGTCAGCGTGCATTCCATACGGTGGGTGCTTGTGTTTCAAAGCCCCTCTGATATTTTCTCTGCCCTCCCAGGTGCCCTGGCTGTGCACTGGAAGTGGGGGGTGCCATACCATCAGAGGGGCGAGTAGCACGAGAAGAAAGGACTTAAGTGAAGAAGGTCCAGCTGTCCTAGTTTAGCTCTGAGATAGCGCTGAACTCATCAGGACTAACTGAGCGAAGACACTCATTTGAGTCTCTGGGAGGTGTCTTGAAGGGGTAGGCACTGGACGAGCCACCCAAGGTGCGAGGCCCAAACCCAGCAGGCATCACCTTGGACTAAAGACCTGTTGATTTGCTGCCCAAAGGCCCGGCCTGGAAATCCCTCGGGAGCAGTTCGACTCAACCCCAGCAGGGTCGCTGTGGCCTGCTGTTTTGTTTTGTGTTTCTGACTGTACTTGAGAAAGGACATGGATCGGCAGTGGCCATGGGCGAAGGTTTGACGAATACGTGGACTTATCTAAGACATTGTCTGCGGAAGCCTGATGGAGAGAATACTGGTTATTTTAGAGTCAGAACCAAACCCACATCAATCCAATTGTATTCCAACACATCAATTTCTGAGACTATAAAGCTTTGCAGGAACGGATAGCCTCATCTTACTCCCTTAAAGGGGCTGGTGGATGTTAACCACCAACCTTGTGGTTAGGAGCCCAATGCCTAACCCACAGCCAAAGGATGGGGAATGGAAAATACCAGGAAGCTCCCTGGAAAATAATTTCTAAAACCCCAGCTGTGGATCATGAAGTGAGGGAGAGTGTGTGCATATACAGAAAGCAAAATAAATCCGTCAATCAGACTCCCTGTCATCAAGCCCACTCTGACTTAGGGCAACCCCATAGGACAGGGTAGAACTGCCCCTATGGGTTTCTGAGGCTGTACATCTTTACAGGAGCAGACAGCCTCACCTTTCTCCCACAGAGTAGCTTGTGGGTTCAAACTGCTGACCTTGTGGGTAGCAGCAATGGGTTATGCATTGGGCTGCTAGGAAAAAGCATTGTTAAAGGGAATTACTGAGTAGTCAAACGACTTTAGGGGGTCAGTCTTGAAATGTAGTCTGGTTTCCTATAGACAGGAAATACCAGACTGAGATCACAGAGTTCATGCTAGTTAGAAGATAGGCTGGAAAAAATAGATCAGACCAAAGGACGGAAACCCTGCACCCCAGACTGAGGAATGTGTGTTCACACCGACGACGTCAGGCAGTCCCAGGTTGTTTTGAGTAGAGAGTGCTGTGGTTACACGGCTAGATCTGTGCCTTAGAAGGGAGTTTAGGAAGTACAGTTTCCAGGATGGATTTGGGAGTCCAAGAGAGGCTGAGCTCACAATCCTGCGAGTAGGAATCTAAATAGGGGCAGGGAGTGTAGAAAAGAGGTGGAGTCAAATACAAGCAACAAATCTATAAGGATGTGTATGTTCAATCGGAAGATCAGATTGCTCTTAAACTGAATGTGAAATTCACCAAGGAACCTTCCCCAGTCCTGGACAGACTGTTTTCTTAGTAGGCAGCATGCATATCTCTCCTGTTGACACTAAGGATATGCAGATGAATGTATGTTCCTGCTTTGCCAAAGAGCAATCACATTGATGTTTGTCATAACAAGTACTACCTGTTACTCAGGTCTCTAAACTCACTGTTGAGTCAAGGCCAACTCTTAGTGACCCCATGGGGTAGGGTAGAACTGTCCCTGTGAGTTTCTGAGGAAGTAGAAAGCCCAGTCTTTCTCCTGAGCAGCGGTTGTTGGTTTTGAACTGCTAATCTTGTGGACCTAAACTCAACCCGTCACCACTACCCCACCAGAGCTGGGTCTCCCTGCCTCTCACTGGAGAACTATAACTTGGGTGGTTTCCTACCCAGAGCAAATCTCAGAGTCAGCCTGGAGTGTACGCTGTTTATGAGCGATGGATTCTAAACTGGGAAAACTGGATTCCAGCCTCCTTTTTCCCTCTTTGTGTGACCTTGAAGCCATTTGTTCTCACTGGCATTAGCTTTCTTGTCTGTTGCGTGAGCATGAAGGTGGAGGGCTTGGCATCTCTCCCAGCAGCTCTTAGTCATTGATTCCTGCAGCATGCCAATTCCACCCAAGGGAGCTCTGCAGTTTTAGAGCCCCACCCTCCCCACTTCTACGTGTGATTTAGATGTCCACCAAAGCATACATCCTGGGGACGACGTCGGGATTCAAACGTAACAAATCCCTGTTAGCAAATGACCTCCCTGTTAATGTTGACACACGCTTCTCCTTTTCTACCTATTTGGTGTAGGAAATAGGAAACCTGAAGAGCCTGCTGTGCTTGGATGTCTCAGAAAACAGGTTGGAAAGACTTCCTGAAGAGATCAGCGGCCTGACTTCATTAACAGATTTAGTCATCTCCCAGAACTTATTAGAAGCAGTTCCTGATGGCATTGGTAAGTATGGGAACTCACTGGCTCCCGAGGGCACTGGCAGCGGCCGGCAGCCGTGGGAGCACACTCTGCTGTGCTGGGAGAGGCTCCTCACAGTGCTCTTGTTGCTCATTTGCTTTTAAAGAATGTGGAAATCAAAGAATAAGCAACACAACTAAAGTTTCTCCGAATGCAAGCATTCCTGTTGTCCTGCTGGGGTAGCAATTATAGGGATTATTACTTATGAGGGCTGACTCATAGCCACTTCATCGGCACCTTGTCTCGAGTGATTTCAGCCGAGGTGAAGCCCAAATGATAGCATGTGCTTTAGCCAGATGAGCAGTCCCTGAGAATGTTCTTGCTCAGCATCCAAGGGAAGATAGGAGACCTTAACTCCTTAACGCGAGGCGGAGAGAAGGAGCTGTAAAAGGAAACGTGTGGTGCTAGAGCAGAGCCTGTCGGTCTGTGAGAAACTGTCCTCCCCTGGGCCAGTCTCTGCTGTTTCCTTTCGAATGATCAGTCCACACCATTTCCTCTACTGTAAAGGAACGCGGTCCTGTGTGAGAAAATAAACTCAAAACAGAACAGGCATAAGCAGATATGGACTGGAACTTCCAACTTAAGCAGAGCCACGTGCAAATTTTAAGGAACCATCTTTAACCCTACAGTGGTTATAAGATTGCTGTCTTTGACCTTCAATTATCTTTTATTCAGGACATCAAAGGAAGCGCTTGAAGGGGTCTTCAATAGCAGGGAAAGCTGTACAACAGAGGTTTACTTCCTTTTTAGTGTTAGGTCAAGATAAAAGTGTTAGCCACTGAGTAGGAAGGCTGGCATTGACTCTTTGGTAAGGCCAGTTGCAAAATTGATGGGGGCTCTGACTCTAGGTGTACATGTTTAGTAAGACCCAGACGTGGCCTTGAAAGCAGTTGTAGGAACTGGGATGATTTTGCTTGGAGTACAGAGAGCTAGGAGACGTGAGATGGCTGCCTTTGAAGCATTTGGAGGTGAGTGGTTAAGTGCTCATTTGCTAACAGAAAGGTCAGTGGTTTGAACCCACCAGCAGCTCCATGGGAGAAAGTGAGGCCGTCAGCTCCCATAAAGACGTACAGTGTAGAAACCCAAAGGAGCAGTTCCAGTCCATCCTCTAGGGCTGCTCTGAGTCGAATGGACTTGGTGGCAGTGAGTATAAGGCCACCGGCATCGGAATCCCCTCATTGGCATATAACAGCAGCCTCATACAGACAGCAATGCACCCAGCACCATGGTACATAGTGACCTAGCAATCTGCCTCTAGAAAGGCTCCAGCCCAGATTATACCCCATGGAGCAAATCCATGCAGCACTTTTGGTGGTTTGGTATAACTCCAGTTGTTGGGGAAAGAAAGGATTGTGAATTTCAATTAAAGCAAGGACTTTTAAAAAACTCTAAAAGAGCCTTCTCACAAGTTAGATTTGGTGGCTTAGTGGTGGTAGGAGTACTTGTCAGCACAAGTATTCCGGGAGAGGCGGGAAGATCCCTCACCAGTGCTGCTGGCTGCTCAGGAGCCCCTCCTGTCCTGGGGTGAAGATCTTTCAATTCTGAGCTCGGCTGCCTCTTCTGCGAGGGAGGGCAGGTGAAAACCCTAGGGGGACAGGTCGTGGATTATGCTAAATAAATGGAGCTCTGGAAACATTGATTTCTTCCTCCTTGCCCTGTAGCTGCAAACGAGGCAAGTGGTTCTCTGTGGGGAACATGCCCCTTTCTCCAGCTTTCTGTCTCTCTCAAGGAGGGGCTGCTTTCCAGAGAAAGGGTCCTCAGGCCAGTGCTGTGACTTTGAGGAGGAATTGAGGGTCGACTGAGAGATTGAGGGTTTCTGTCAGTCAGGGGGGGACCCTGAAAAGGCGTTAGCAATACGCCTTCATCTCTGTCCCCCATGGGCATCACCAGCAAGTTGAGTGTTCCTGCTTTGTGTGAAATAGACTCAGCCCTCAAAGACTACCACCCCCTTCTGCACATACCGCAACAGTGAGTTACAGGGATTTTCTCTGAGTCACTTTTGTTCATGGGTGTTTTAAGGAGCCACAGCATATTGCTTTTAATAAAGACGATCCTCACCATAAGGCAAAAATCCCTCTCATGCATACACGAAGCTCCTTCTGGGCTACCTCAAAGATCCAGCAAGAGCCAGCCATTTGTTTTTCCTCCGGCTGGGCTGGTAAGACATTTTTTAGATGAAATACGATGATTTGAAAATAATTTGCTACTGATTGCTGGCCATTTTGGATGTTCTAACAAATAGCTTGGCTCTGGCCTCTGAGTGCCCAAGAGAGCCTAGTAACAGTTTCCTGACTTAAAAGCCAGCGTGAGGAAAATAGGGAGCTCACAGTCGGAGGCAAAACAACAGCAGCAGCAGCAGCAGCAGGTGGCCAATGCCAAGTGGTGACTAGAGGGCCCAGTGGCTGATGAGCTTAAATCACCTTCTTCCAGGGAAACTGAAGAAGCTGTCCATCTTGAAGGTGGATCAGAACAGACTCACCCAGTTGCCTGAGGCGGTCGGGGACTGCGAGAGCCTCACGGAGTTGGTTCTGACGGAAAATCGGCTCCTGGTGAGTGTGGTTTGTCCCGGGACACAGGCCCTTAGAGTGTGCGCTTGCACTAGGAGGGGCCTTCAGTGTGCTGGCGGAAAAGCTCCACTGTCTTTCCATTCCGTCTGCCTGTGAACTTTCTGACACCCCTGGAGGGTGCAGATTCTCACTCACGTTGAAGAGGCCCTATCCATTTATTCCTGTGACAGCTGGCCCTTTGACTTACTTTCACTGGTACATACTAAAGCCCCAATCAACATTAACAATATTGATTCTCCAACCCTGAAATGAGTATTACAAATGTCTAATTTCATGCCAGGAAGGTCTGTTGCTTAAACCCTTGAAACTCTCTCTCGTAAACAACATTAACAGCAACAAAAACAAACTATGAACTCTGTAGCGTCATAATAAAACCTTTCTTTTCACAGGCCTTACCTAAGAGCATCGGAAAACTTAAGAAGCTGAGCAACTTGAATGCAGATCGAAATAAATTGCTGTCTTTACCAAAAGAGGTATGTGCTTTGAAAGAAGTCCGGGTAATATGGACGGCGTGCCCGGTATTTTTCAAGATGCAAACGTGCGTGTAGGGATAAAGCTGATCTACGGGATTCGATCAGAAAAAGATCGTCAGTGATGTTAAAGAGAACAGATGGGTTCTGGTGATTCTGAGCAGTGTTGGGAAAGGTGGCTTGATAAGATTTTAAATGGGAAGAAGAAAGAGACCCAAGCTCGGGCTCGATTGATGTGCAGTGATTGGCAGCAGTGCATACGTTAGGCTTTGGGGCAGGGGAGGTGGATGGCTTTGGGTTTGATTTTTGAGTTTAATGTTAAATTCTACCCCACCCCCACCCCCCAACATGGACACATTGTGGGAGAGTCACTTCTGGTCACGGTGGGAAACCCCATGTGTGTCAGAGCAGAGCCCTGCAGGGTTTTCAATGACTGTCACTTCCACAAAGACAGATTCCCTTTATTCCAGTGGTTATCAACCTTTATGGTGACCCCCCAACCATAAAATTATTTTTGTTGCTACTTCATTACTGTAATTTTGCTACTGTTAGGAATCAGGCGACCCCTGTGAAAGGGTCGTTCAGCTCCCACAGGTTGAGAACCGCAGCTTTATTCCCTGGCACTGCTGTGAGGATTCACAACTCCAACCTGTCCCTCAGGCCATTGAAATGCAAAAAACGAGATCTCCAGGCAACCTTAATTCTGATCATCGGTTTGCACTGGGCGCGCTGGTGCCCACAGTGAACGTGGTGACCTCTTCACGAAGGCAAGCGTACGTACAGAGGAAGGCGAGTGGGAAGTTCAAGCCAGGGTCCGGGGACATGTTTCTCAGTCGGTGCTGCAAGCAAGCAAGCGAAAAGAACTGTCCCCCTCCACCCAGCCTGTGGGCAGTGAAGGCATTCTGTGGGAGGAGATGCTCCAAGTAGGGAGGAAGTGTGTGGTAGATCAAACGAGGACGTGTCTGGCACGCCGTGGAGAAAGACGACTTATGTTCTCTGTGGAAATAGGAGGACACATTTGAGAAGGGAAATGCCAAATTTGATATTTTATTATTAGTCGAGCCTGAAACTAAGCTTAAGCTGTGTGTGTGTGTGTGTGTGTGTGTGTGTAAAGGGTTGTAGGTGGGGGAGACTGGGCATTAGATAAATTGCTGATGAGCCCCTTCGCCTTGGCTGGGGCCTCACATACGGTTTGTTTCTTTCTTTGATAAGATTGTGAATCAGGTCCAATGTCTACCTTTGTAGCATGTCTACATATTTCTCCTTAGGACCCTTTCCATCATCCAACTAGGATTAATTTAGAAGTTGCCAGCCAGCCAACTGGAACTCGGGGGAGGGGCGTCCTTATTTTTCTCGGGCTCCTCTAAACGGTGTCTTTCCTTTCCTCAGTTGCTGTCTTGCCCCACGTGCCATCTCTGCGAAGGCGGCCAGAGCCGACCTCCTGGCCTGTAGTGCTCCTAGTCCTCACCAGGCCCCAGTGCAAGCGTGCAGGTCTTTGTTGTCAATGTGATATGCTGAATATCCTCTCTGACAATGGAGATGCTTTCCAGAGGACGGCTTAAAGCTAGCTCTCCATTTAACTAGGACACAACTACCAATCAAACCAATCCAAACTCGCTCACTGAGTCAGAGCTCACTCAGAGACCCCTGCGGGTTTCTGAGACTGTAATTTGACGGGAGTATTAAGCCCAATCTTTCTTCTGAGGAGCTGCAGGTGGCTTCGAACTGCCCACCATGTGGGTCACTGCCCAGTGCATAACCACTACACCACCAGGGCTCCCAGGTCACAACTACCAGACCGCCAATCAAAGCATCTCGGCTGTTGTCCCAAAGCAGTAAACCAAAACACAGAGGGAGTAGTCTGAACTTTTTTCCTGGATGTGAGTGGTACAGGTAGATGAGAAACACATTAGCCACATCAACACGCCCAAGAGGCACAGACGGTCACGAGCCTATTCCTTCCCTGTACAAGGAGTGGCTTCCCTTGACTCCTGTGTAAACTTGGCTTTCTCAGGTCAGGACAAGTTCTTCGCTTTATGGATGAGGACACAGGCCCAGTGAGACGTTCTCCTTACCAGCTCTCATTCCAGAGAGTCCAGCCGACAGCACCGCTCTTCCACTGGCAGTACAAAGAAGGCGCCTCGCCAGGGAGACCGGGAGGGCTCGTCAAGAGCCCTGTTTGGCAGAGATTGGTCAAATAATCTTTGCTTTGGACATTGTGTTTGTTTGAACATTGTGATTTGTTGCCCCAATCCTTGTTAAGGCAAACGCTGAGCAGAGCACTTTTAAGCTTCACGTTTGTTCCCAGTGGGTTCGACGTGGCCTCCCCCGCCCCACTTGCCTAGCCCTTTTTGTCTCTGCCCCTCTTCCCACAGGCCCACATGCTGGACAAGAACTTGGGGAGTGTGTTTTTACCAAACCTCCCCATCTCCTTATCATCAGTCCCCTTTTCACTTTAAAGGAGTGCTGTTAGCGCTTGTCAATCTGCCTGTCCTGGTGTGCTCGGTGGTGTGTGCATGTAAGTGTACTAGAGCAGTTTTTCATGCTTTTAGAAGTGGAAATATTTCCAGCCTCAAAACACTTCAGCGACTGCATTTTGTCCATTTCCCAGGGACTGCTGACTTAGCCCTGTGCACTTGGAGCTTTAGGAGGGACCGTTCTGTGCCTGTTCCCTTGTCTGCTGGGTAGAGCACGGGTGGTTTAAGATGTTGGAGAGGTTCAATCTCTCCGACCACGCTTTCACCCCTCCTCAGATGCACTCAGCTCCCATGAGGGGAAATGCAGGTAGCACACGTTTCTAAATCTGCTGCAGGTCCGCCTGGTGTAACCAGAACAGACCAACGGTTGGGCACTTGCCCCTGACCACGGGAGAGCCTCCCCGGCTTGCACTGCATAGTGTTGTATAGGGCAGCACCGTCATGCCCTGAGTTTCTGGTCAGTGTAGTAAAGGCACTGTGACTGTCCATGCGCTCCTGTACACCCTGCTTCCCAGCTTGCTACCCTCGGATGTAATCCTACAAGTCCCTGACTGATTCTTTTGCTTCAAAATCTGTATGACTTTGATTGGAACAATTCAGTTGCGTGTATGCCAAACCTCAACTGAAATGCTGGCCAATTCAATGGATTGGCCGAAAGTCCGTACTAGCAATGATCACTATTGGTCTATTCTTTTTTTTCCCTGGTGATAGAAACTTAATTTTTATTTGCTAGTGGTTTATTCTTGTTCACTGTCCAGTTCTCTCCAACCCCCACCTTTTGTCTTTTATTATTTGAAATTTGACGTTACTTCCTACTGTCAGTTTTATGGCACAACTCCCTAGTCTCATAGCAGCATTCTTAGCATTTTTTTTTCCGCTTTCCCAATGGTGAATGGGAATATGTTTGTGCTGTGTGGGTCACAATAATGGATTCTGTTTGTGTTTTGTGTTACTTGTAGCAAACATTTGCAAATCAATGAATGTCTCTTGTTTTCTTAATTGTTTGCTGCTTGGACATTTAGAAAAGTCAGGTAATCTTGTGACCTTGTAAGTATGGTTCAGACCTGAGTTGCCTCTCTCCCTTCCGTGTTGCTTCTGACATGCATGCAGACTCACCTGGGCTGGCTGCTTCATGTGCTCTTCATCATCAGCTGGTGGACCTTGTCCTTTAGATTCATTCTGTTTGTTCTGAAATAACTGCATGGCCTGGGGGGACCTCATTTTGTTTTGTGTTTATGAGATTTGTTCAGACGATTTTTCCCCAAAGAATGCGTTTCTGTGAAATACATGTTAAGTTATTCAGAAGTTCTGAAAGGCATCATCATTTGGCAGTTCCATCTGTGTTCACTGGATTGTCGTTTGTTTGCACTTTTCTATCTCCAAAGGAAAAACTAGATTTATGTCCTTTGTGAAATGTGGCACGCGCCTGATGTTTCATCTTTTGTTTCTCGTCCTGTTGCTTCTGGGGAAAGGAGAAGTTCTAAAAACAAAACAAACAAAAACGTTATATTTTTGGTGTGTGGGAGGAATTAAGGGACACGCTCAGCTTGTGGCTCATGGATAGGCAGGGAGTTGGTAGGTGTGTTAGGTACATGATGAAAAAGCAACTGAACTGTATTATGTTTTCAGTCCAGTCTTATTTTTAACTGCTTGGACCATAGAGGATTTATAGCTGTAAGAAACGAAACAGCCAGCCAAATGTAGAGTCCAATGTTTTATCTCCATTGAGTCAAAATAGAAATGACCACAAGCTCTCTGGTCCCCTGTCAGATCACCTGTCAAAGCCGTTCCTTGGCAGACACCCTGTAAACATCATTTACCTGAATATATGACTACCATGTTCTGTTTGTTCTGAAATGTCTACAGTGATGCGATTTTCTTTTTGAGGGTAGCCTTCCGCCTTCTTATTGCTGCAACTTCGATGGTTAAAGTATAAGTCTGCTCTTGTGTTCTAACATGAATTACTGTAAAATAAGATAGATAATATAAAATGAAAAGAAAAAGTGTTTTGTGCAATACAGAAAGGTTTTCCCCAGGTTGTTATCTGCTTGCTATTGCATTGTGAGGTCAGCTGTGTAGAAGTTTTCTCCCTTCTACCATCAGAGCAATCAGACGATTGTCTGTCCACCATAGGTGGGGCCCACACCCTGCTGATAAGGATGGTGGATTGCTTTCCTGAAGGAGAGCTCAGAATAGGTCAAGCCAACTCTACGAGGGCCAAGGTTAGGCTGCCATCTTGACTTTAGGATCCGCCCATCATGTCACATGTGTACTTAGTCCCTCCCCTTCCTATTACGTGTACACCCCTAGCTCATCTCCTTCCTGTGACCCATATGCCTATTGTACAGCCCCTTCCTGTGACGTATGTGCTTACCTGTAATCAGGGGGGCTTGCACACCCCTAAGTATATATAGGCCTTGGTCAGAAATAAATGGGGTCTTTCCTCCCACTCTCTCAGCGCAGACCTGGCTGCTGAGATCATGGCCGTCCTGGAGGTGAGCATGCTACCATAAAATGTGTCCGACT